CTTCTGGCCTGCATAGTTTCTGTTGAGAAATCAGCTGACAGTCGTATGGGTACTCCCTTATAGGTAATTGACTTTTTTTCTCTTGCTGCTTTTAAGATTCTCTCTTTGTCTTTTGCTCTTGGCATTTTAATTATGATGTGTCTTGGTGTGGTCCTCTTTGGATTCCTTTTGTTTGGGGTTCTCTGTGCTTCCTGGACTTGTAAGTCTATTTCTTTCACCAGGTAGGGGAAGTTTTCTGTCATTATTTCTTCAAATAGGTTTTTAATATCTTGCCCTCTCTCTTCTTCTGGCACCCCTATAATTTGGATGTTGGTATGCTTGAAGCTGTCCCAGAGGCTCCTTACACTATCTTCATATTTTTGGATTCTTTTTTCTTTTTGCTTTTCTGGTTGGATATTTTTTGTTTCTTCGTATTTCAAATCTTTGACTTGATTCCAATCTATGTCTCTTTCTCACATCGATGTCTCTCTCCCCATCTCTCGCTCTTTTTCAACAACAAAAAAGGAATCCTAATGGATATTCTCTAATAACTTCCAGTTTCCTGATCTGGATCAGAAGAGAGTGGGAAAATAGTGGACAGAGTTCTCACTGGGAAATATACATTGACCCAAGGCATATATGGATTGATCTTTGTCATTTGATTACTTCATTTTTTGTGATTCTCCCCTCTAAATTCATAATCCTAGGAAATCCTTTTCATGAATAATGATTTACAATCTAAGAACCATATTAAAAACAATTTCCTTTCCTTTAGGGTAAGCCTACAGAGGCCTCTGTAGAAGCAAGAGTACAAGAATATGGAGAACTAGATGCTAAAGATTACATCCCAGGAGCAGAAATTCTAGAAATTGAAAAAGGAGAAGAGAATGCGGAAAACGATGAAGGTTCATTTTTATTTCACCATTATTTGGGACATAGTCACTCCTATATCTGTATTGACCTTGAAATCTTTACGCTATTGAACATTCAGCAGTGAGTTTATGCCAGGCACTGTTACAAGCCTTGGGGATCAAATGGGCATGGTTCCTGCTATTAGAGAACTTACATTCAAGTGTAGATGTCTTTTCATGTTCTTCAGGGTGGCTGCACCTTACCAATGGTATGCTGGTCACTTGGGAAAGATAATGGTTTTTTGTTTGTTGCCTGGAAAAAAAAATGATGAGGTATTTATTAGTCCTTAGCAACCTTCCAAAATTCTCCTGTTGAAAAAGGCTTGTTGAATTTGTTGAAGAATGCTTGAGGATCTCCATTCTGACTTTCTTATATTGGTTGCTAAAGTCCTGTCTTTTTCCTATTCATTCATGATTTCAGCAAAGCTTTTTTAAGCATTAGCTGTGGGCTGGCCACTCTCAATACAAAGATGAATGATATGGTTCCTGCCCTGCAGGCATGAAAAAAAGAGCTGAGAATAAAGTGATACTAGGATTTATAATTGGAGTGAGGCATAAGGGCAGGAGACAGGTCAGGTCAACCTCCAAGGTTCAAAAAAAGCCTCAAGGAGATGGTAACCCATAAGCTGTATTTTGAATTATAAGTGAGGAATGGTAGAACAATGGAGACTTTCCAGGCAAACTGTGAGCAAAGTCCTAAAGGATTTGGGCAACTTACAGTGCAGAATATAAAGTAGACAATAGTCAAATAGTAGACTAGAGTCTGAGTTGGGCCTTATCATGACTGGTTGTGTATATGCCATACCAAAGAGCTGGGACACTATTATATAGAACACTAGAAGCCCGGTGCACGAATTTGTGCACTAGTGGGGTCCCTTGGCCTGGCCTCCAGGATCGGGCCAAAACCGGCTCTCTGATATCCCCCGAGAGGTCCCAGATTGCGAGAGGGCACAGCTAGGCTGAGGGACCCCACCGGTGTATGATTGGGGCCAGGGAGGGACATGGGAGGTTGGCCAGCCAGGGAGGAACCATGGGAGGGCTCCGGGGCATGTCTAGCCCATCTCAGTCCCGATTGGCTGGACCCCAACAGCAAGCTAACCTACCGGTTAGAGTGTCTACCCGCTGGTGGTCAGTGCACGTCATAGCGAGCGGTTGAGTGGCCTTAGATATCATTAACATATTACACTTTGATTGGTTGAATGGATGACCGGACACTTAGTATATTAGGCTTTTATTATATAGAATGAGGAACCACTGAGATTGTAAGTAGCTGATTTTGAAAGCGCACTATGGTGGCTCCATTAAGAACACTAATACCCCTTTATTGTGGTGTCTGCAAGGTGTTTTTTGTTTGTTTGTTTTTAATATGTTTTTTACTGATTTTCTAGAGCAAAAGGAAGGGAAAGGGAGAGAGATAGAAACACATTGATAGGCTGCCTCCTGCATGCACCCTACTGGGGATCTGGATCACAACCTGGCATGGTCCCTGACTGGGAAACCAGTGACCTTTTGGTGCACAGGACGATGCCCAACCAACTGAGCCACACTAGCCAGGGCTCCAAGGTTTTTTAACATCCAAAATCTTCTACCTCAGTTCTCTGAATGACTGTTCTAACTAGTTTCTAAAAACATTTCTTAATGTGCTTAGAAGAGTTGAGTACTTCCTTTGTAGCCAAGATAACTGTACTGTACAAGTGCAGTTTTGATGTACATGGTTTGGTGGGAAGAACGCGGTCTCTGGAGTCAAATGTGATTTTCAGAATTTCAGTGTAGGCTGCATTTTCTGACTGGCCTGGAACAGGTGCCTTAACGCAATATCCTGTTCCTCTTCTATTGAGTCTTGAGGGTTAGAGAAAGTGTAAGAATTCGGCCGAGGGTAGATACTTGGTCAGTGTTTAATTCCCATTCCTACAGTGAATTAAATTGATGTGGCTTATTTAACAATAAATATTGATCAGTCCTTGGTTTGTAGAGCATCTGTTTGAGGTTCATAACCTTACTTTCACTTGATTTATCTCCACTTGCCATGAATACTCAGCACAAAGCGATAGACTACCTGTGCTCTCTTTCACACAGACGGGTGGGAAAGTGCCAGTCTCAGTGAGGAGTCAGATGACGACGGGGAGTGGGTTGACGTGCACCACTCTTCTGATGAAGAACAGCAAGAAATCGTAAGTTTCAACATTTCCTTCTATCAGTGCATCACTCCAGTGTTCATTAAGACTTAATTCATGCTGAGCCTTGCTGGGGGACTGAGCTCTCACCTGAGCTTGTAGCCTTGAAAGCCTTTGTTGTGTCCTTAAAGGCTAAGAAGCTGAGCAGCATGCCTGCGGAGGAGCGGATAGCCAAAGCTGCAGTCGTCAGCACCAGCCGAGTTTTAACTCAGGAAGACTTCCAGAAAATCCGCCTGGCCCAGATGAGGAAGGAACTCGACGCTGCCCCCGGGAAAGCCCAGAAGAGGAAATATATCGAAATAGACAGTGATGAAGATTCCAGGTACAGCAGCACATGCTCTAGGTCTTTAGGCAGCTCCCATGGTAATGAAAGTATTAGAGAGAGGAATCCCACCCTTGTTTCATGTTACATTTTGTCCTTCATCTCAGGGGCGAGTTGCTTTCTCTTCGGGACATTGAACGCCTTCATAAAAAGCCAAAGTCTGACAAGGAGACAAGACTAGCAACTGCAATGGTGAGTGAGGTATACTGTTCCCTGGTCCTGTAAACAGAAAACAAAGAAATGAAACATGACCCAGAACTTGTATAGGCACAGAATGGTAGTATTTTACTTTAATGTTTTGACTAAAGCTGTACTGAACATAGAATAAAATGCACAGGTATGAGGCGTTCAGTTAGATGAGCTTAACTAGGCAGCCATGTAACTACCATCCAAAACATGTTGTAGATAACAGAAAGCACCATTACATGTTCATGGTATCAGGGAGGCTCAGAACACTTACCAGAGCTGATAGAAAAGCACAGGAGTGTTTGCAGTCATTAAGGAAAAGGCAGACAGTTGGAGTCTGCCTCTGGCAAGTACGGTGTGATTGCACCCCGCCGACATTTCCACCTTTATTTTCTGTGCCTTTGCTTGTCTTAGGCATCGGGCCATCCTGGCTCCACATCACCCTCTGCATTCCGTTTGTACTAAAATCTGTTCAGATAAGTTAAACCCATGTTCTTTCTCCACACCTTTCCATGTGCTATTATTCCTATTTCCTGAAATGCTCTACCCCTTTCTCTCCTTTCCCCTTACCATGAATGCCTTCATCCTGCAAAAAAAAGCTCACAGGTCTCCCTTTCTAGGAGGTTCCTCGGACCTCACCAAGCTGAATTATTATGACTTTTTTTTGCCTCCACTTTTTTTTTCTCTTTTTATTGATTAAGGTTTTATATATGTGTCCTTATCCCCCCATTGCTCCCCCACCCCCCTGCTCATGCCCTCACCCCCCTGGTGTCTGTGTCCATTGGTTAGGCTTATACGCATGCATACAGGTCCTTTGGTTGATCTCTTTCCCTTACGCCCACCCTCCCCTACCTTCCCTCTGAGGTTTGAGCATCTGATCAATGCTTCTCTGTCTCTGTTTTTGTTCATCAGTTTACATTGTTAAATTATGACCTTTTTTTCCCTCTGAGCTCCTTGCCCCATTACAGTTGATCATGGTCCATTTCCCCTGGACTGAGTCCTGGGGAGCAAGGACTGTGTTCCATTCATCTTTGTGTCCTTGGCATCCAGTAGAGCACCTGGCAAAGAAGAGATGTGTATATTGATTAGGTAACTCATGAAATGTTTTTTGTGTGTGTGCTGACAGGCTGGAAAGACAGACCGAAAAGAATTTATGAGGAAGAAAACCAAAATGAATCCATTTTCCAGTTCCACAAATAAAGAGAAGAAAAAACAGAAGAACTTCATGATGATGCGGTATAGCCATAATGTTCGCTCAAAAAATAAGCGTTCCTTCCGAGAAAAGCAGGTGAGTTCAACTTGAAGCTTGTGATTGTCATTCTAAGACACCTTTACTTTTGGGATGGACTTGTGCCTCTAAAGACCTTGCATTGTGTGTGTCTTAGGATTAATGGGAGTATTATTGGAGAGGTGGAAGATAGGGTGTGTCAGTCCTAGACCTGACTTGGTTGGGACTCATCTGTCCAAAGTGGAGTCTGTTTTTCTCCTCTAAGTAAAAGGGTGCAGTTCATTCTCTTGCTAAAATTCTCTGCATTTGTGTGAACTGTAGTGTAAAAATTGCGTAAGAATTTTTGAGTGCTTATTATATGTCTGGTACTTTTTTAGAAGCAATAATTATATGTGGTAATAGCTCAGAAACAGTTTTAGTGAAGCACACAAACGAAATGGTTCCCCAATGGTATGTGCCCTTTTGCACAGCCTTTATGCTTACAGGCCTTTGGGATTACATTTTACCTATTTTTGATCTTTCATGGTTAGTTTTTTTCAGTAATTCACTGTAGTAAAACAAATTTATATTTTAATGTCTTTTTCTACTGGGGGTATACCAGAGTGTATCAAACTATTCTGAAGAATCTCCAGGGTATCCGGTCAAGGGTAAACTAGTTCAAGGGTAAACTGGTCTCACATTCTGAACCAGTGTTCCAAAATGCTCAGCCTGAATGCAATGGCCAGCTCTCCAGGGCAGTGTTCTGTCTGGGAACCAAGGCAGTATTAACTTAATTGAGGTACCATTTAAAGTCTACTGTCTGTTTACTTAATCTTCCTGGTTCTAAACTGTTATGTAAATAGTAAAGTGACAGTATTTTTAATAGAAGTTGTTGAAATTGAGGTAAAAGGAAAACTGCCATTTAATATTTAAAATTTCCCAGTTCAATTTAAATTTATAGTTGAATTTATTAATTCCATTAGTTTATCCTTCACCTGCCCTTTGTAAGAGTTTAGGGTTGAGGAAATAGTAATAGTTTATAGGCCTTGCTTCATTACGAGGTTTTCGTGGCTTTGTTACATTTTAGCTACTTCCTCTCAATTTTAGCATGCCTTTTTTGGCTTGATACAGAAGCTTGGCCTTATTCCTTGTCAGCATGTTTGTTTAATCAGCATACAGCAATATGAGCAGGAACTGTGATTAAACCAATTTTACAGATGAGAAAATAATTCATAAATAGATGAGTCTGAGAAATACCTTCTCAGCCATGGAAATTAGGTTAAAATGAACTTGATTTTTTTTCTGCCTCAAGTGTGCTAGCTATTCTGCCTAACAAAGAAATACCAACACGTAGATAAGAGCTAAAGGCAAGGAGCCAATAACTTAAAATCATAAAATTTAAAAACTTAGAACATTTAGATGTAGAGCCAGGCAGCTTCCTTTTCTCCCTCCCCCCAATGAACACGTGTCCTTTACAATTCAAAAACTACAGATCTTTAAAAGTTTCTAGGAATCCAAGAGCAATACTTGGGAATTAATGGGATAGTATTCATTACACACTTAAGATTGACCTTGGTTGTCTTTTTTAAACTTTGGGTTTATTCTTAATGCTCCATTTCTGCATTCTGTAGCTGCTCCTGTTTTGAGCTTTTGTCCCATGGGGTGGGAACAGTATTCAAGAGCTTTGCCTATTTCCTAGCAGTAAGGAGGCCCTAGCCTGGTTACAGATCTGATCTGTTATGGAATATTTCACTATTTGTAGTTTTGGGGGATGACTTATTGACTTAGTGATTCCATTTTGGTACACTTTCATATAACCACATTAGTATAATTGGGTATCCAAGACTTACCATGTTTAGTTGTCTTTTTCTTATCTTCCAGTTGGCACTACGAGATGCGCTTTTGAAAAAGAGAAAAAGAATGAAGTAACCTGGACAAGCAAGTTTAGCACTCCAAAGAGAATGCTCAATTTGTGTCATTACTCTGAAAATTAATAAACTGAGAATGTTTACATTAAAAAGTCCAGAAACACTATACTGTGAAAACCAAAGTAAATTTGGTAGCATTTTGGTGTTTTCATTTTGGAGGTGGATAATGGTGGGAATATTTGAAATGTAAACAGTCATGATGTTGTAAAATCATTTTCATTTAGCAGTCATGTGAGAATAAACTCTTCGGTGCCTATTATCACTATCGATGTAAAAATGACCATAATCCCTCATTAAAGGCATCCAAAGCCTATTTGGAGGATGCGGGGGACAGACGTGTGTATATGTGTATCTATGTGCAGTGTAAATAGTTCTCTGGTAGAGATAGGTCCATCTTCCTGTGGGGTCATGGAGATCTTGTAGACGAGCTCTGCAGGGGGCGGGGTTACATATTCTCTTCAAATGAAACAGGACAATGTTACAAGAGTAAGAGGTTCTTACTTGTAAATAGGCTTACCTGCTGAAAACAGGTCCCTGCTGTACAGATTTTGGGTAGACTATTTAGCTCTTTTAGTCCATCCAAAAGATTTAAATATTTTTTGAATACCAGGTTAAAACCTTGCTTTTTATATTGCCTTAAGTATAAATAGTAATCTTGGAGTGTCTTTATCATTTAGGCTGCTCACGTCCCCATAGAGAAAAAGAAAATCAGATTAGTTCCCTTAGCCTTTTTTCACCTTTAATATTTTCAGCCTTGTGTCCAAAGAAAGGTTTCTAATATCAAATAGGTCTTCTTGTGTGTGGAGCGGCTGCATTGGCCTCCCTCCCCTAGGGGTGTTTGGGTAGATTTCAGGGGGCATGAAAGCAGGTCAGTCTCTCTTTTTGCAAGTTGTTGCATTTGGAAAGTGTGTTGCCTTTTACCTCAGATTTCTTAGATAATATTGTAGATGATAAAATTACTCTATATTGCTTTCAAGTAAAAAGCAATTTTCTGCTTACTCTGAATTAGAAAGCAGCTTCTAAAACTACTTTTCTCCTTCCCTTTCAGTATCTTCTGTTCACTTTCTAAGTTCAACTTGAGTTTTATTTGAAGGAAACTGTGTGACTTTCCCCAAAATACTGGGGATTAGTTGTAAAGACCTTGAGGTTTAATGACTCAGTTGCACTGGCCTAGTGAGGGGAGCCCTCAGAGTCAACCTTGGCAACTTCAGTATTTCACAGAATGTGCCCCATGCAAATTTGAATGGTTCAGACTAGAAACTGCTCTCTTTGCACATTTGAACTGTCTCGTGTATCTAGCTTGAGAGAAGGGTAAATAAAATCAAAATGACATAGCAGCCAAGATCCACAGCTTTGCTGCCTGAATTGTGATGTTACCTGAAAATTTCATCCTTTCGCTAGACTTTCACACCCACCTAGGTGCCGAGACACCAGAGTCCATGTGTTCTGACTTCTGTTCTAATGTGGCTTCACCCTGCTCTTAACTGAAATTTATATGCAAGATAGAAAACTAGCTGGCTTACAGTTAAGACTGCTGGGTGCAGTCTTAACTCTCTTTTATTTCTTCAATCCCATAGTATCTTATCTTGCTATGGTCCCTTTTATTATTTTATAAATCTCAAGAATATTTTATGTTTGTTTACTATAAATTTGAAGATCGGGCCCTCACAAGGGTGGCTGCTGCCAGCAAAGGCAGAGTAGCCTTTCAGGGTGACTTTTACCTTGAAGAAGCCACCAGTGTCTCCGTTTCAGCTTTTCAGACTCACTTTTTTGTCCGCACTGGGAATGGATCCATTTCTGGGATGAACTCATATTGTCCAAGCTCATATATAGTTACATGAAGTGATGTATAAATCTGAAATGGTAATGTATTATGTATGTGATCTTAGCAAATTCCATCGGAAAATAAGCGCCACAAAAGGCAGAGGCTGTTCCCTGCTCTATCCCCAGGCTCAGTAAATATTTGAAACATGACCTACCTCATTGATTGTTTTGAGGTTCTGAGAACTAATAGCTATTTATAAGAACTTAGCATGGTATTTGCCACAAAGTACGCATTCAGTAAATTTCTCATCAAAGGTTAGATATTAAGTTTTTATCTTTTGCTTAATTTACTCTTGAAATGACAATTGCAGTTGCTACAAGTATTTGTTTTATCCCTCATCCATGTTGGGGGGAACTAGTTTGAAATACAAAGATATATATTGAATGCTCACTGTATGCAAAGCAGCTGCTAGATGCTGGGTGGGTTGCAAACACAATGTTTGTGTCATACAGAAACTTTGAAACCCATGAAGGAAATAGACTTTAAAAATAACTATGTAGCTGAAACCGGTTTGGCTCAGTGGATAGAGCGTCGGCCTGCGGACTGAAAGGTCCCAGGTTCGATTCCGGTCAAGGGCATGTACCTGGGTTGCGGGCACATCCCCAGTGGGAGATGTGCAGGAGGCAGCTGATCGATGTTTCTCTCTCATCGATGTTTCTAACTCTCTATCTCTCTCCCTTCCTCTCTGTAAAAAATCAATAAAATATATAAAAAAAATAAAAATAACTATGTAATACAGAGCCACTTACAGAGCTATCAAAAAAGGCACACAGCTTAGGGCAGGGCATCCTGACGAAGGGGCAGTTCAGCTGGCAGGAGGGTTTGCTGACAAACATGCTTAGGATGAACAGGGCAGCAATAGGAAATGGATTCTTGAATCATCGAAGAAAAAGTTGGGATTTAAAAATTGATACAACTTTTTAAAGGTTATTGTTAATTAAATTTTGTTTTTGTTACTTCATATTCTAATTCTTTGAAAATTTATAATGTATGTAGAGTGTTGTATGGCAGCTCTGTATTAACCAGAATGTTTAATCAGTTGGAATGCTCTGTTCTTCAAACTATATTAAAACTGTTTTAAAACTATTTTAAACACATTAAACTTGTTCTACCAAGTGACGTCCTTTCATTGTATAAAAAATAAAACTAAAAATTAACTATTGCTGCCCCTGACTGGTTTGGCTCAGTGGATAGAGCGTCAGCCTACGGAGTAAAGGGTCCCGGGTTCGATGCCGGTCAAGGGCATGTACCTTGGTTGCAGGAACATTCCCAGTAGGGGGTGTGCAGGAGGCAGCTGATCGGTGTTTCTCTCATTGATGTTTCTGACTCGCTATCCCTCTCCCTTCCTCTCTGTAAAAAATCAATAAAATATATTTTTTAAAAAATTAACTATTGCTTACATATTTTTAGAATGTATAAAGAGATTTTTAAAAGATATTGAATTGGAATAGGAAGGTAAATTGCTGACATGGATCGTTTTCTCTTAGTGCAGGTTTTGGTCTGTACATGTTTAAAACGAAACAAGAATGGAGAGCATAGGTCATTCTGTACTATTTAATACCATATATATCAGGGCACTCCTATGTGATCATTTTATTTTCTCCTGCAAATTCTGCTTTCATTTATTTGTCAATTTGATCTCAATATGGAAATGGTTAAACTATGATTTATCCACGTGGTGGAATATTATGTAGCCTTTAAAATGTTTACAATAGGAAATGCTTATAAATGAAATGAACAAAACACAAAGTATTTATAGTATAATCCAATTACACATGAGCGAATAGGGACTAATAAAAGCCCAAGAAACATGCCAAATATTAAACATGGTTTTCTTCGATGTTGGTTGGAATCATGTGAGGGGTTTTTTCTTTCTACTTTACTTTCTGAATCTTTTACAGCATACATGTTTTTACTTATGTCGTTGTATGAGAAACAACTTTATTTGAGGCCAGAGAATAAAGTTGCATTAAGACACTCCTGTGGATTTTTTTTTTTTTTTGACCATTTGGAGGGGAATGTACTTAAACCAAGGCAAGGATTAATGTGCAGATACGCCAAAGGAGTTGTGATCTCCCCTTCTTAGCCACTCTCTCCTCTTGTTTACTGACAGGGTACTAGATGGGACCCTTTTTCTCTACCCAGCAATCCCCAATGTTAGCTAAAGTGCTATCCTATATAATAAAAGCCTAATATGCAAATTGAACTGCAGAATGACTGGTTGCTATGATGTGCACTGACCACCAGGGGGCAGACACTTAATGCAGGAGCTACCCACAGGCCCCAGACCAGCCAAGGAGGGTGCCAGCGAAAGGCCCCCCCCCCTCCCAATAATCCCGCCAGTAGCCCCACAGAGGGAGGTGACGGGTGGCAGTGGGGGGGTGGGGCCGGCGAGCGGGTGGTGCCAGGCCAGCCAAGGTGGGTGCCAGTGGGGGCCCCCAGTCACCCCACAAATGGGCCCTGATTGCCTGCCAGGCCTAGGGACTCTACCTGTGCACAAATTTTGTGCACTGGGCCTCTAGTGTTAGTATAATTCTTAGGGAAAATAATTTGTAGTATGTGCTAAGACCTAAAAAATAGTCATAACCGTTGTCTCAAACCTACATCTGAAAGTCTAATCTACGAAAATGGTCCGAAATATGGCAAGAGATGTGTTTGGGGCTGTTCTGTTGCAAGTAACTGAATACACATCTAAAAATAGTATAACCAAATATTGGAGAATCACATGAGAAGTCTGGAGGTAGACAGCTGCTGGTCTGAGCTGTCATGCCCTCAGGATCTTGGGCTCTGCTTTGTCATTCTTAGTGTGTTGAAGTCAAACTCTGGATTCAAATGCTGACTGACGTAGCTGTATGACCACATTTTAATCAACATTTCTGTGCTGCAGTTTCCTTATCTATAAAAATGGAGATAATGATAATACCTTTACCTTCATAGATATTTCTTCTGTGTTTAAGGCAACAAGAAAGGGCGTTCTTAAGATATATTCCCTTAAGTGGAATCCCTGGGTCATAAGGCATTTTTAATTTTGAAGAATCTCCATACTCTTTTCCACAGTGGCTGCACCAGTCTACAATTTAACAATTTTATAAATATAGTATGCATATGAAAATAGTTGCTGGGTTTGTGTGGTAGTACTATAGCTGATTAGGTTTTCTCTTTCTGTACGTATTAAGCATGTATAACAGTTCTCCAGAGAAACAGGACCAGTAGGAGGGAGACAGAGAAATAGATATAAAATAGGAATTGACTCATGAGATTATGGAGGCTGAGGAATCCCATGATCTGCTATCACAAGCTGGAGAACCAGGAAAAGTGGTGGTGCCATTCAGTCTGAGCCTGAAGGCCCGAGAACCAGGACTGCCAATGTCCCAGGCAAGAGAAGATGAATGTCCCAGCTCAAGTTCAAAGAGCATATTTGCCCTTCTGCTGCCTTTTCTGTTCAGGCCCTCAAAGGGTTGGATGCTGCCCACTGCATTAGTGAGAGTGAGCTTCCTTACTCAGTCTGTCCAAATTCTTTCTCTTTTGGAAAGTCCCTCACACACACATTGGAGGCTGAGATAGCCCATCACCTGCTGTCACAAGCAGGTCCTTTAGCTGGGCATTTCTTAGCCCTGTCACTCTGACACATAAAATTAACCATCATAAAACATTTTGTAATGTTGCTGTAAAACATTTATAGTAAACATTTTAAAAAAATAATCTAAAACATTACTTCTACTTCCATTCTTAGCAAGATCCAATTTTGGAGTACCTGCTATGCCTAATACCTAAGTTAACATCAGATCCAGGAATACTTTAAAAGGAAATTTGGCCCTAACTGGTTTGGGTCGGTGGATAGAGCGTCAGCCTGCGGACTGAAGGGTCCCAGG